CAATAGTACAAAGTTTTTAATCAAATTTATTAAAAGCTAAAAAGTTGATTTACCTATTACTTTCACTTTTTTTCAAAAAAAATTTTGTAAAAATGAGCAATTCAGTTTACTTTCTTCTAAAGATTGACATGTAAAATTACCAAAACAGTCAGCAGTATTTACTTTTTAAACAGAATTGTTAACAACATGAATCAAGAATAATACAGCAATACAAACATGATTATATATATGCCTCAAGCTGCTGAAAACCTGTCAAATACTGTCTTTAAACTAATTAGTATCTTATGCTGACCTTTTATAATAAAGTTGAAGTTTTTTTCTTCTTTTTAATTTTTTATTTAAATAATCTAAGTAAATAAAAAAATAGTAGAGTAAGTTTTATTTAGTATAGTTTATAATTTTTACAAGCCTAGCATAGGCTTATAATTATAATTGTTTGATATCTGTAAATTGCAAGTTTTATGCTTAATACAAGCTTAAAATCATGACTGTCTGATTTTTTGTAAATTGTAAGTTTTATATTTTTTATTTTTTTCATTTATCTCCTTTATTTCTTTTATTTTTTATTTTGTATCTTTTATCATTTACTCTTATACTTTTGTTTTTTATATATATATAAAATCTTTTTTTTTGTTTTTTTTGCTTTTCTATAAGAAGTATTATTATATTGGTAGTATTCTATTGTAGGACAGCAGCCAAATGAGCAGTTTATCTCTGTTTAGAGAAATATGACAGGTTATACTTAGGTACCAATAAGGTAACCAGATAATGCTAAATTTAAATATTAAAAAAATTCTCTATAATCTGTATAGTACATATTAAAAATTCTAATAAAGTACTAGTATGACTGCTTAAGTTAAAAAAAAATTTAAATTATCAATTTGAAAGTTATTATAGTTATAAAATAAAAGATGCAAAAAATTTGAATTAGCTAGATATAATAATATTTAAATGCATTAAAGTTAAATAAGTAGCAAATACTAAAACTTTTTACTAACCAAAATGAATTAATAATATTATTATTTATAAGTAATAGAAATTTTGATTGCAAGTGTTGGTTTTAACTATAATATAAAATTTATACAATAAAAATATATTTAAATATTAATAGAAATAGTTAAATAATAGTTAACATGTTATATTAGATTTTTATAGTTTAGTAATAAGTAATAAAATAATTTTATAATATATAAAATATAAAATTTTGTATTTAATAAAACATATATAATTAATATTTTTTATTATAATAATAAAATTTTTTTAAAAAAATAAGTTAAATTACTTATTTTTATTTAAAGAAAAGTAAAAATTAATAAAAATTATATAAAATTTTTTGTATAAGTTTTACAGTTATAAAATAATCTTTTTAAGCTTTTAATAAATTTGATTAAAAACTTTGTACTATTGTTTTTTCAAAATATTCTCTTAGTTTAATTACTAAATATACTAATAAATCTATTTGAAAAAGCTTTAACCTAAAATATAAACTATTAAAAGTATATTTACTTTTTAATATTTTATATATTTAATTTTATTAACAAGAAACCTATTTTGTATAAAGTTAAAAATAATATTTTCTTGTGTTTTGCTATAACATTTTTCTATAATTTAGTTTTTAATATTGTTAATTAGAGAATTATTAAAAAGAATTATAAATTATTACTATAAGCTTGTAATAATTTTATTTTTTATTTTTGTATAAATATATAATAAATTTTCTAGTTATTTCTAATATGCTATTAAACTTAATCCAAAATATAACATTATATAAATAACAATTTTTAATATACAACAGCAAAATTTTAATAAAAGTTTTACTAGCAAATAAATTAGTTAAAAAAACCAATAAATTTATATTAAAAATTATTTTTGTTTTATATCTAATATTAAAATTTTATAAAATTAATTATTATATAAAATAATAAGATTAAAATATATTACCAAATATAAAATAAAAAAGTTTGAACAAAACAAATTAATAAATTTAATAGTAAAATTATTGCGAGCAAATAATTTTTTTGGCGTACATTCGAACACTCGATTACCTTAGCACGTTGATTGAAGATTGATGCCCAATTTTATACAATTGCTTCCAATTAAGAAGCAATTACATAAATCGGGCATCAATCTTCAATCAACATGCAAAGGTAAGAGTGCACCAGAAAATTTTTTCAACCATTTAGAACACCGCGATAAATATATTAATTTCATAATACCAAAATGTAAATTGATATTTAGAAATTACTTAAAAATCATTATACTTTTTACGTGTACAACTTGAGATATTATTTGTGTAAGTACGCACGCATCGGGTATGCTCTAATAATCTATTTTGATCATCATTATGCAGTTTTCGTTTGCTTGATGAAACTTTATAACCTAATGTCACGTGCTTAGTATATTCACGTGACATTGCTTTGCGAAGAATTCAAGGAATTATGTAAGTAGATATAAAGACCAAAATGATAACGCCAACATTACGTCAGCTTTGCTAGAAATGATGTAATTTTGCATTTATAAAGAACCAAAATTTCAGGAATTTCAAAACATATTCGATTTCTTGTTCTTACCAAATTGAATTTCCAGGAATGGTTTCTTTTTGACTTGTAAACAGCAATGTGTTTATGGTAAACCCTATTTTACTTATTGAAATAGTATTATTAGTGCTTTATTTGTCTTAAAAGTGTATGCTTATATTTTATTTAAGCTAATACCCTGAATTGCAATTCAAAATTAAAGATTTATAGACAGATTGAAGCAAAATGAGGTACAGACTTAATTTTTCTGAATGTTATGATAATAAAAGTAAGTACAGAACTTTAAGAAATGGTTAGGATTAAAAAAATCGGACAATTTTAAAATGTTACTTGTGAAATGAAAGGTTATGTCTAATTGAGCACATGTTTAAACGATTGAATTTCGTGAGCTATAAATCATAAGGATGTAAGCATCATTTTATGTATCTTTCAAGCAATGTTGAGACACTTGATGACTGTGGATGACTGTGGAAAACAAGTATTGTACACATTGTTAAAATCCACGATGAATTAAGCAAAATCTTATGATCAAAGATCACAGTTTTGATGACTAATAACAATGGCTATCATCGCTCATTGTATATTAGAATATTGAAAAGTAAGAAAAGAAATGTATTTTTTTACTTATGAATAGCCCAATTGTTTGTTGTAACTTGTTCAAAGTATTGGTATCGTGACCTGTGGCGTGACTTATAGCTTAATTTACAATTTCTGGCAATCCTTTTGGATCTACTTCGTAACATAAATGTAAAACAGTGCTTCAAGATTGTATTGACAAAAAAGGTAAACAAGATAAATAAAAATGGACTTTTTTAAAAAAAAAATAAAGGCAGAAAATTTGAATTTAAATCAAACTATTCAATATATATTGTTTAGAGGAATCAAATCAAGCTAATACCAGTTAATCTATATATATAATATAGAGATTGAATATTTAGAGTTAGAAAATTTCAGTATGCAAATAATCAGCAAAATTTATTTTTATGAAACTTCTTACGTTAAAAATGAATGAAGAAAGGGATTCTTTTTTATAGTTGTTTATAATATTTATATTCTATACAATAATAATATACTTAGTATGGTCAAGTGATTTGGAATTTAGTGGCATGACGTAGAAGAAAACAAACCATTGATTGGCTCTCACGAAATAACAACTCATGATTTTATTGGCTAAAAAATTCAGGAGACGCTGATATTCGAGGTTGATTCGCTGTAGTTCTTCATCCATTCGCATAAATACAAATATACCACTACGTATTGTGTTATGGTTGTAGGTCCATACCCAATATAGATGATATGAGCACAAATAAATAAATAATAGGATCCGATGTTCTTCTGGTGCTCACCCCTTTTACTTTCTCGACGTTCACACTCTGGCACGCAAATATCGTTCCTTTCACTCTTGTTAACTAGAGTTTCTTGATAAGTTTCTTAGATAAATATTATGGAAGCTTGCTGTTTCAAAAAAAAACAAGGATAAACACTTAATATACAAAAAGTAATATACTGCTGGTATTTAGTTCTCTTGGTTATTAGTGAAAATACTTTGCTCTTGTATACTTATAAACAAAAAATATCGAAACTGGTAAGCTTTTTTTTATTCCTTATATACAATTTTTCTTCAACTCTATAAACACTTTCTGTAAAAGTTACATACTTTTTCGTATTATTATTTTATCTTGTGATAAATATTTGTCTTTTATTAAATTTAATGTTTGCATAATTTATTTGTAAATCAAATTTTAATTTTATATAAATCATTTACAATATAAACTTTTGTGATAGACAGATGTTCACTAACCATCTAGTCACAATATACGCATACAAACAATAGAAGTTTAAACTTCTATCAACTCAAAATTCTTTTAATTTTTATTTTATTTTATTTTTTTTATTTTAACTGAAATACATACAGTTTAGTAAAGATGTCATCCAAAAATCAATCTAAAGATCCGATTAACGAATTATCCAATAAACGGCTAAAAATTTCCCAGTCCACCGCACCTCAAAAATCCATTCCAATAGGTTCTACTCCACTTTTGAAACCACATCGACGGCAGCAAACCTTACCAATGTATTTAATAGTTTATGAAGAATTGCCAGATGGATCAACAGTAGAACGCTCTGTGATCGACCCAAGGTTTCCCAAATATAGGACTGATGACGTTTACATAACACAAAAACCAAGTAATCCTACTAAAATTTCAGAAAACATCAGAAAGATTCCAGCCATTTCTTCCACCAGCCTTACATCCAATTTCAACAAAACATTGTTAACTAAGACGGTTGTTGATAGACCAATTACACCACTTATTAGAACAACAAATAATAAAGATTCTTGTCAAGAAATTCAAGTCGAATCGAATGAACGTGTACAGGGAATTTCGATTGATCGTGGACTTCCTTCTGATCTGGGAGACAAGAGTGAAAGAAATGAAAATTTGAGTACACAAAAATTAATTGGTAGCTCAGATGGCACTCAAATGCCGGAAATTATTACCATTCCGGACGACGACGATGATGAAACACCATGCTATATTAATCGAGCCCCTCATTCATTTTATACTGACGTAAGTGCGTTGTCTCCAACTTCCTCATTAGATATAGAAGTAGGAAGTGAAATATCTGATTTGGAAGAAATAGATTTGGGGAAACCTATGTGGGAACCACAAAAACATAAAGACTCTCAATCAGATGTTGAAGAAGGTTTAAATATTGCTTATGTTTCAGAAAACTTTTGTTTACCTGTTATTAAAAATGTAATTGAAATTGGTTCTTCGGAAGAATCCGGTTTTGAAATTGAGTCAGGGGATTTAGAGGACGATGTGTCTAGCTCTGATGATGATTATTATACCGGATTTAGAATTTATGATTTAATACCGGATAATAGTCCTGATACGATGCTCCAAATAATTAATAATTCAATTCCATATGACCCTAAAAAGCTTAGACAAAAAAGGTCAATAACTAATAATGTTGGAACAGTGAAGAGAAGAAGGACAAGGAGCTAGAAAGTTTTTGTAAAAAAAAAAAAAAAAAAAAAGGAATGAATTGAATAATTTTCAAAAATTTACATTTAGAAGTGTTTGATTTTATCATTCGATAGATATGAGATTTTTTGGGGGAAACTTTTTCATTTGGATTGATAGATTGGATTTTTGCAAAGAATCACTAATGAAATTTTCATTTCGAAAGTAGTATATCACACAAAGTACAAATGCATAATTTTTTTCTGCTTGGTAAATAAATAACTTGTTACCCTATAATGGATTATAAAGCTTTTACCATATTTATGATATTGAATAATACGCCTGAATTATGTACATAGAATTTTTATTTAATATTTATTAAGTTGATAAGCTTAGAATTTTCGTATTTATGTTAGAGTTATACGTATGCACGTACATACATACGTGCTTAACATATGGGCGATTTTTACAATTCAAATATGTCACCTGAATTTGCATGTGATGTTCGTGATACCTAAAAATAGATTAGCCAATGAAATTTTTTGTATGATCAAAACAATAATATTGATTACTTTTACGTGGCGGACTCTTTGACATTGTCACTAGCAAAAGTTATGCCTATTTTTTGTTTCTTGAAAACCTATTTTTGTTTCTTTGAAGGTTGGGTCTTGTTGAACATAAATATGAGAATTTCAAGTCGCAAGATTAAGAAATAAAACCTGGGACTTTGTGAACAATGCTTTCTATATTGTGCTAAATAAATCAACCAATCAATGTGAATTTAATGTAAGACAAATTCGTAATAATCACAATTTTATTTATATTTGATCTTATTCGTAAATATCACCAAGATCGCAAAATCCGCCCATATGAAGAAATTTTGAATGTGGCAATTTTAATTGGTGTAATCATTGGAAATCTCCGACACGTCAATATATTAACTGATGGTCCAAGACTTTATTTATTCTAGACGCAAATCACAATTACTACAGTTGTATACATTGGGTTCATTTTTTTATGTATTTCATTTAAATACTTTTCTAACTCCATTGCTTAATAATCAGGAATAGAAGAGTTAAAAGCGCAAAAAATATTCGGGTATTCTATTAAAACATTTTGTTGATCACTGCATAACGAGAAAACTCATTACTGCGGTTATCTTTATAGTATATACATACTAATCTTTGGATGATATTATTCTATTAAATTAACATCAATGATTTGAACTGATTAAAAAAAAAGCTTGTCTAATTTAGTGAATTCTTCTATTTATGAGGTCTATAAGTTAAATGAGCGCCTATATGCAGTGCATATATTGTATATAGTAAAGTTCATATACAGTCAACCCCCGTTAATATCAACCTCGTTAATATCAACCTAAGCCACAAATCAAATTTTTATAAATTTTTATATATCAAAATTCCCTCATATATATCAACTTTAATATAATCTCTCGTTAATATCACTATCAACATAATTTAAAACCAATCTAAATGGGTTGATATAAACGAGGGTAGACTGTATTTGCTTTTCTTTCAAATCTTTAAAATACGCGTATTTCATATAAATAAACAAAAGGATCTTTTATCGCATTGTAGAAATGTCTTTGCTATCTTATTTACAAAAGGAATAACGGATGATGCCGAAAATTAAGGCGCGGGAACGCGAAAAAAATTTCAGTACATCTCAATTAGGAACAAAAATGCCTCTATTAGTTAATCGGTTTTATGATACTTAATATACAAGTCGGGTCAAGCCGTTTTCATTTCTTATCTCAATTAACATGGGTAATTATTATTACGTCATATATAAAATTGGTCTGGGTTCAAAAATAATTCCTCATATGTGCAAGGAACTGAAAATCGGTTGCTTAAAATATGAATGCTTCTCTTTTAAATAAATATGCTAAATTTGAATGCTAATAATTATAATCAGGTACCGTACCATATGCTAACACCCTTGATTTGATTTTGGGATCAATCATTCTAGATATATAACAGCAATATTTCCTTATAAAAAAAAAAAGTAATGCGGTATTTAATAAAAGTTTACAGAATTTAAATGAATCATACGGAGCATTTTGTATACTGCCGCAAATTCCGCATTTTATATACGTAATATGCCCAGGGAAATAATATGAAACCTATAAAGAAATGGTTAAGTTAAACTATTGATCGATTCTGTCATTTTCCTGGACATATTCCGTGCATAATATAGAATTAAATTCTGTAGAACCCTAATGAAAAATTCCGCACTATTAATAAGCTTTAAAATTCAAGCTCAATGTATAAAATGATACATCAAGATGATATAAATCATCTGATCAACATAGCTTTATATATCTTTAACCGATGTGACATCTAAATATGACATCACCATGACGTCTATGATGTATTTATATTACGTATAAAAGCAATATATATCTAATATATCAAATACTGTATATTGATATTAAAAAAGGTTCGAAAAAACAAGTGTATAATTATTTAAGTTACCAAGCCCTTTGTTTCCGATATTTATAAACTTGACAAGTTATAATCCTGGCAGACTAAAACATGTGATTGGTTATCGATTATCAATTATATTGCTACGTTATACAGTTTAAGTAGGTTGCCAAAAACAAAATAATATTAAAAGAGAAAGATATCACAGAAACACTACTATTAAATTAATCTCATATTTTCTTACCTAGAGACGTTAGTATAGTAACGACTTCGTTTTATTCGTTTTGAGAAGTTATTACGATACTAAACTTTTAAATATGAAAATTAACTTCAATAGTTATGTTTTGTCTCTAATAAGTCATCTGCTCAATATATTTTGTAACTTTACCACAGAAATTTAATATTTCCATGTTTTAAATATCTATAGTCACGTGAAATCATGTGGAAATAGTAAAACTCCATGGTGAAAATAGGAGTTCCCTATTATTATTATTTTAAATATTTCGTTTTGTTTGAAAACGTACTTTAAACAGTATAACCAATTCCATATGGTACAATAAAATATTGCAGTCTTTTAATGTTTGACGTTCCAACTCCATTCATAAAGTCCAGTAGTAGGACAGTTCCTCCGACATATCCAAACCCGGATAGCTTGAAGTTCCAGAAAATGGGCTGATGTATAATATTTATATTGGTCATCCGATTTTTTAATAAATTAGAAGGTAATTTCTAATGATGTACGCTACACATTCAGGTGTTTATCTTATCAAATTATGCATGTACTGTATGTACGTATGTACATAAAATAAAAAAGAAACAGAATACCCATGTAGGTACGGTAGGATGTACATTAGCGTTAGCAGTTAGGTGACCTTTCCACTTGTAACTGGGTGTGACCAATCATTGTGTGACGAATAAAAACCAACCAATTAATTTATATTGGATTATTAATTGGTTCTTTTTCGGCACGTACACCCTAGTTACAAATAGAAGGTAACCTATAATAGATATAATCCTTTGTAAGTAAACTTTTTTTAATGGTTAGTGATAGGGAAAGCTCTAGTATTGTCCTTTTTTTGTGTTAGGGTAATAGGTAAAGTAACTTTGGTTTGACGAATTTTTCTTAATGCTCCCATGTTCTAATGTCTATAATGTGCAGACGTGCGTACCAGTGTTTAAATTTCAAAATGCACAATTGCATAAAAAAATTTTTTTTAACTTGCACAGTGTGTAAGTAAATTTTATTTTTCTACTTGCACAAATATAACTTTTATAATTTATATTTATTTTGTGCTGTCTTTTTCTTAAAAACTTACTTGCACATATGCATAAAGGTTTATAAACTTCTTGCCCATGTACATCTTTTGTATGCCAATTTGAAACACTAGTACATACGTATTATAAAATGATTATTCTTATTCCAATCGTCAAAAATTGGGTCGTCTAAAGATCAAGACGTAGAGTATATTTTAAGGATCACGTGACAAATGATAAGGAAGAGTCGTTTATTACCGTTACGTCTATAAATTGAAGATATGCTGATTTTATTATCTGGGAGGAAGGGTTTGGCCTTATAATAAAAAGAAATTACGTAATAAACGGCACATCCTTAATTACAATCAGTGTTGGCATTCTATTATTCTATTCTATTGCTCTATGACTCTATTGTAAATTTTTATATTTAATCATATTAAACTATTGTAGATATATATATTTACCTTTTTAATTTAATAAAAATTTATTTAATGTCGAGGTGATGCTGGACGTTGGGGCCTCAATTTGAAAATAAAAATCTACACATACTCTTATTATAAATCCAATCCCTAAATCTAGCCTAACTCTAAGAAGACATCCCAAAAATTTTTCGAATTTTCATAATAAAATTTTAGCATAATCCCCGACATTTAATATCTGAGTGCTGCAGAATGAAAACCTAGAAGTGAACATTTAAGTTTTCACTGTGGCGAACTTAAACCTAAAACATTATGTTATATATTGGTATTGATGATCGGTGTTTGATTTTTTTCATCTAAACCAGGAATCTAGATTCTGGATTCCTAGTAGAGATAAAAAAATCAAACACCGACCATCAATACTAATCAATATAAAACATCATAATGTTTCAGGTTTAAGTTCGCCACAGTGAAAACTTGAATATTCGCACATTTTTAAATTATTTGAAACAGAAAAAAAATTCAAAAAAAATGCTCTATTATTCCATTCGCGAACAATGATAAAATTAAAGTTTATATTTATATTAAGACTTGGTTAGCAATGATACAGTATAGACGTTTTTCCAAAATGCAAAGGATAACTTATATAAATAAACATATGACTCATATTATAGGGTCAAACGGGTTAGTTAAATATGCATTATCGTTACGTATTGGACACGGAACCTCCCGATGTAGGGAATGATCTCCGTTAATTACCGGATTCTCGGTAAAACAGTTCAGGTCGACCCGGCAAGTCGGAAAATTGTATATCGGGTGTTGATGATTTTGAATTTATTTAGTAATAATTCATACCAATACAATGATGTTCCCCAGAATTTGGGTACATTAAATTTGTCTATTGAGTTTATGACTATACATCGTTTACATAGAAGATGAGTAATTTACACACATGTGTAGTTTAATTCCATAATGAACGCTTGATTATGTATGCCATGATTAGGTCATTTGTGCTTGGGCAAATTGCAATTACTAATGTTTTATCGTTATTGGCAGCGAAAATTTACTTGTGTATTTTTTGTTTATTTTCTCAAGGGATTATTTAGATAAGGTTCCTCTTAGAAACAACAATCCTCAGAGTAAAACACAACACTAATCAGCATTATATTTATGAGAGTTTATTCACAAATTTAGAAAAGATTGGTTTCTTTATTGTAAAGAAAACTACTTTTACTTCTCAATATAAATTGGATGCATTCGATTTTTGTTTTTGGTTAATGGCTCAGTGCCATACAATTTGGCCATACCTTTTCAGTCAAAGTTGCGTGCAAACTAATGGAATTAGGATCGAGGAGTGTGAAAAAAATTTCATATTTTTGATCACGTGGTCAGATGTTTATTTAAAACTGCAGTACAGGTTTAATATAATAAATGAGTTTAACATATCAATATCAACACATTGATGTTAAAAATAAAACCGGTATCAGCCTCATTTTATTCAAATTATTCAGAACAAAACTTTTATCGTCAGAGTGAAATTGTATTTAATTTTTATTATAGAATACTATTTTATTGGCGATAATGATTGGTTGGTAACCCAGCCAGTACGGCTGGGTTACAGAACGATCAGAAGAGAACATAAAATACAGCAGTTGATGCATACGGAACATGCAATAACAGTTTTATTCAATGTTTTACTATCAGTTTATGAAATAAGATCAATAATTTTATTATATAAAAAGTGCCATAAAATAATTGATTTATTTTATACTGACCATAGTAAAGCATTGAATAAAGTCATTTATTTATTAACGTTAATTGAAAACCCTATGAATATCGCTAAATGAAAGCCTGGGAATTTATTTTCAAGTTTTATTAGACGGCACACAACAAATTTGATTAGAACCGGCTCCAATTCTGCTTACATTATAGTTATGCAGAATCCGAACTTTGATTACATCATTAGTATATCAGTGTAAAAAATTGAATGTGCGTTCAAGTTATTACACACATAGACATTGTTTTCTGCACTTAACCTAATTTTGAATGTGTTTCTAGTGTATGTACGTATGTACATTACGATATAATATGATTAAATTGTCACATAAGTTATATGCCACAGTGGAGATGTCTTGGACAATAACGAACTATTCCGTTGTAACTTCCCTTATTTGGGTGATCTACATCGAGTAACTAATCAAGTTGTAAATTTTTACGAACCAAAAAAATGAACTACAGTCTAAGCCTCTCTTACGTTCTAGTGCTAGTAAAAAAAAAATGTCGGAAAAAAGCCAATTTTACTATGATACTTGCTTTACTTAACCTCAAACCAGCACTAATCCAATTTTAATTACTATTCCAGATAAGGAAATTAAAGTGGGTTTATAATAATGGTTTTAAAAACGTTTTATTAAATTACAAAAAAAAAATAACTACATAGTCTAAATTTTAATTTTTACTACAAGATTTTTTACTTTAAATACTATATTAAGTATTTATCTTTGTTATTTTTAATTGTTATATATAGATATTTTTAACTTATATTAGTGGTTATTGATAACCAGAGTACTATATCTCAAAAAATTGACTAACAAAGTTTAAGAATATTATGTAAAAATGCTCAGAACCTTCAAAACTTTATATAGACTAAAAATTTAAATTTTTTAATTTAACAATATACTTTTTTAAAAAAAAAATTTGACTGAATTTGTTAATAATTTTTATTTAATTATAGATTTATATTGTTTTGCAACTTTACAAATAGCCTAACTTTACTTAACTACCTTTAATAGTGTTTAGATATATCTTGTTACATTATTTTAGCATTGTCAATTTATTGTTCTATTTATTTATTATTATATTAATATTTAATTATTAATTTTTTGTTTTATTAACAAAAAATTTATTTTATTTTGAACTCTATTGTTTTATTATATTATTTTATTGTTCTATTCATCCATTGCTGCCTACATTAATTATTTTATACACTATAGTTAAGATTAATACTTATAATCAAAATATTTAACATTCTAGTTAACAAGTTATTAAACTGCTTTAGTTAATAAAAAGATTTAAAACCTGTTATTTGCATCAACTTTAAGTATTTTGAACTTACTATTTTTAACTAATCTATATTTTTATATTTTTGACTTTTTATATATATAGTAATTTTTAAACCTTAATATATTTGTTATTATAAAATTTTTTAAAAAAATTCTAACTTAAAAGTAGGAGGCATGTAGATCATTTTTATATAGTTATATATAATATATTAAAATTTTTATTTAAAATTAATATATACTACTAATTTATTTTTTTTTAATTAATAAAAAAATTTTATAATATTATAAATAAAATTATTTATCTATTATAGTAAAATTTTGAAGTATTTCTTGATACCAACATCTTTAAGCCTTCATCTTAGTTCTTATTTATATGAATAACACATTATAGATTATTAAATTTAAAAATAAGTTAAAACAAATTATTCAAATAACAGTATCCTTCTACCAAATGACTAATTTTCAGATTAATTCTACCAAATCAATATTTGTCACAAATATCAAACCTACTTCTATTATCTTTCTTAACTTTACTCTTAACTCTATCTCTAACAATCAACCTTTCAAATATCTAGATTGTTGGTTTACATTTAATAACAAACTTATACAATCAAATTAATTCAAAAAGAAGCTTTTTAACTAATTAATACTACAAATACAAAAAATATCATAGACAAACAAATTACTTATATTATTAGCACAGTCATTATCTCAACATTAGAATATAGAATATATAATATTATATTTCTCAAAACTATATGTAATTGTATACTGACTAAATACCTTACAGTTGCTAAACACAAATCTCATCTTGCTTAATTAATTCCTAATAATATTATGCTTCATCCTTATCTATACAACATATATAACATTTGGGATATACAATTATAACACCATATTATTACATTTCTTCAACAAATTAATGATCCCTATTTACTAAGTATTTCTATTTATATTAGATTACAATAGTTCCAAAACAAGCTTTAGTCTATTATAAACATTCTTGAACATCCTCAACCTAATGTTGATAGTCAAGATAAATATACTCTTAATTTTAAAATTATTCAACTATTTCTACAAATTGCCATCTCTATTAGAGCTAACAATAATACATTATGGCCAAACACTATTCATTATTAACTTCAATCTTTTGAACTTATTCTTCAATATCACCACAAATATACAATCTTTAAAAAACAACTTAGATGACTAAACCTACTTTATCTTGAACAACTTTGTACTTCAGACAATACTATACTTCTTGAATAGCTACATCTATTATCAAGAATTCTTCATTTACCTAAAAACAAAAAACCAACCTGGTTTACTAAACTTGAAAACCTTATTATAGAAAATCATCATTATTGTTCTCTTAAATTTCAATACTAACAGCAAGGAACTAATCTCTTTGCATATAACATATACAATATTTCTAAAAAATATAAACCATGACTGATTACTTTCAATAATAAGAAAATTATTATAGACAAAATCTGTAAACATCTTACAAATTCTAACCAAATATCAATCACATATTGGCAAACTGATATTAATATAAACAGTACTGATTATTATCCATTTTAACAAATTAATCTTGTTACTTATTTTGGTTATCGACTTAATTTATAACAAATAACTACATCATGCACTATTAATACTTCATCTATTACATCTGCCCAATTTTTTAATAGAATTATTTCAAATTTAGTTAAAATAAATGTAAACTACTTAGACCTTCTTAGTTTTGTTGCAATTAAATGACCTTTGCCAAATTCCTTACCATTACTATTGCTTTCTATTCCTATTTTTAACTTAATCTCTTCTGCTATTTTTGAAGCATATGATGCAACTAATAAACTTAATCAAATATCCTCTAATAACCTACTACATAACTCATTTAACTTCTATACCAATGGTTCAATAATTAGTATAAGTACAAATAACTGTACTATGGATATTAGCTAGGTTCAAGTAGACTCTAATAATTAAGTTATCCACAAATTTACTGTCTAAGTTCACTTCTGGCCATCCTCTTACAAGGCTGAACTTTTTTTTATTCTGTCTGCTATTTTAACTACCTTCTGAAATTCTACAATTAATATCTATACAGATTCCTAATTCATAATATTAAAATTTATTCAATTTAATCAATTATCCCTAAATCTTAATAAACTCTTCAAATTTAACTCTTGGCCATTATGACATACCTTACTAAATATTATTAAGTTATACAAATTAAATATCATTTTTTATAAAGTTCAAGCTTACTCAGACAATACTCTTAACAATTTAGCAGATTCACTTGCTAAGCAATATACAAATAAACCTTTATTACATTTTAACTATACAAATATTCATAACCTATATCATTTATTATTCTTTGAAACAGAAAAATTCTCTGTTGAACTTCCTACTAGATACTTTGTTAAAAGTATCTGTAAAGCTTACAATCTTGCATTATAGTTATCACAAAAACAAAATGATGAATGAACTTCATTAGTCCACTATATCAACTAAAATTTAATTTAACTATACTTCAACTATAACCAAAAATTTATCTACAATCTTACTAATTTTAAACTTAACTAATCCAAATTTTTTAAAATTAAAATACTCCTTAATGAACTATCTACTCAATATCTTTATTATAAAATCTATCCTCTAATCTTTTATAATGCCAACTGCTTTTACTGCAATTCAATTATGTTACTATTATATTGATGCACTTGTGCCAATTCCTCTTTGCTTGATAACATCATTTCTAATACAATGACTAATTGTGTAAACTTAGCCAATTTAGACTTCTCTAACAATAAAACTAAAGAACTTATTCAAAAAATTAAAGATTATTCAGCTTTCAAAGAAACACCTCTTTAC